TGGTTTCGGTTAACGAATTTTTCGGTTAACGAACGACCTTCTGGAACGGATTGAGTTCGTTAACCGAGGGGTCACTGTATATCGTTTTATATTTTATATTTCTCTTTTCTTTTATTGTATATTACAACTTCTATATCACTTTCTTTACTTTCTTTGTTTATGTTTTCTAAGTTAATATATTTTCCTAAGTCTTCATTTCTATGTTTCTAACTTTATTTATATATTTTACTTTTCTTACTTAGTGTTATTTCTTTCAATGCTTTTATTTATTTATTCATTTCAATATTCTTTATCTTTCTTTTCTATGTCTTAAATGTTTGTTTCAATGTCATTACTGTTTCTTATCTTTCCTCTTACTTCTTTCAATATTTATCAGTGCTTAGAAATATTTTATACAATGGATTAACCTGGGAAAACCATATCATTCTTTAACAACACTTCTTGGTATAATTATGTTACTCACAAGGCTTTTATTAGAATATAACTGATATCATTAAAAATGTTAGGTTGCGTGGTATTTACGAGCTTAGGCACGTGATTTACAGTATTTATTTTCTGAGAAGTAATTGTAAGAAGGGAAAGATCGGTGATACTCACAATTTACAAAATCAATATTTATTAAAATCGAAAGTGAATAAGATGACAATTTAAATACACTCAGACAAGAATGGTCACTTGGTCTTATTTTATAAATAACAAAATAGATCTTTGATTATTTGTTACAACATAAACCAACTGTTATATTATTTTTTTGACAAAAAAGATGGTTATTTTATACACTTGTCAATAGCACAGAAAATAATGAACAACATGGAACATGTATCAGATCTCTGTTGGGAGTAGCCATTGCTGGTTTACTCATAACACATATAATAAACTTTAATACTGGTAATCTAAATATTTATGGTTTCCATACTCAACCTGGGACAATTATATTTCTGTTAATTATCCCCAATCATGTACAACAACACCACTTTGCACGTATAACTGTGTTTAGTACACCAGGGTTACTCGCTGATGTTTATTACAACACCTGAAGCACGCTATTAGAGTCGGTTGGACTCCGACACACAGCTAGAGAGCTCATCTTAAGGGTGTACAACTCTCCGGGCACGTTACTCTTTGGTTTTAATCTCGCTCTATTAAAGACATCCTGTCTTAGACATCTGGCTGGTAAGCAGCTACCGATCCTCGGTAGCTGCAGGTATTCAGTTACAACACACTGTGCCTGAGATATGCTCAGGAAGGCATCACAAAGTAGTTATTTTTTAAAAGTCTAAACTAAATTACACACAATCAAATGTCTGGCAACGACACAGACGATATTTACGTTATGTTATTTCTTATTTGGCACTTGAGAATTTCACTATGTTAAAACATGAACACTGATATTCACAAGGTTCAACTGAGTTAAACTGACTTAATATATATATATATATATTTTTTTTTACGGGAATTAGCCCGCCCGAGCACAGGTCAAACGACCCACAACGGAGTCTGGGGAGGCGAAAAAAAAAGAACGGAAAGAAATTGTAAATATAGAAAAAAAAGGTTATGCTGTATTAATCTACACCACGAAGATGCCGGAAAACCAGCTTTTTAAAGTGAGACATTGTAAGAGCATGGAAACACAGAGGAATGCAGAGCATTCCACAGTTTGGCTGTGTGAGGAAAGAAGGAGGTACTATAATGGGTTATTCTCGTGTGACCGACATCCACAGAGAAACGGTGGGCACCGCGGGCAAGACGTGTGTTACGAACCCACGGCCTTGCCGGCGGTACACAGGATGCCAAATCCACCAAACATTGCCCATTAAAGTACCTGTAAAAGAGAGAGAGTGAAGCATCATTGCGGCGAAGAGAAAGGGAAGAGAGATTGTCGACTAAAGGAGGAGAGTTAATAAGACGAAATGCCTTTGATTCCACTCTATCTAATAGTTGGACAGAAGAAGAGCCACCCCAGATATGAGAGCAGTACTCCAAGTTAAGACGAATGAACCCCTTATATACTTGGAGCAACTGCTCAGGAGTGAAGAAGCTGCGGCATCTGTACAGCAAACCCAACTTTCGGGAGGCAGCTTTAGTTATACTAAGGATGTGTAATTTCCTGGACATATTGGAGGAAATGGTAAGGCCTAACATATTTATTTCAGAATTTGGGAGGATGATAGTGTCCTGAAATGTAATTGGTGGGAGGTCATCTAATTTACAAAGTGTAATTGGTAAATATTGAGTTTTATTACTATTGAATTTAACCAAGTTTGTACCTCCCCATTCAGAGATGCTGTACAGATCCGTGTTGATAGAAGTAATGACATCAGTTCTAGAAACAGATCTAGTTTGAAAGTTAGGAGGAAGGGGAAAATGTGAGGAAGAGTGAAGAGTAGAATCATCAGCATAAGAATGGATAGAATTAGTTGTAGTGTGAAGTAAATCATTGATAAAAAGAATGAAGAGAGTAGGTGAAAGAACAGAACCCTGTGGGACACCACTACTGGTAGAGAAAGAGCGAGAAATCGGTCCCTCAACAACAACTGTCATGGATCGGTTCTCAAGGAAGCTAGAGATGAGAAAACACAGTGGGGGAGAGAAACCAAAAGAGGAAAGTTTAGATAGCAAAGACTTGTGCCATACCCTGTCAAATGCTTTGGAGATGTCGAGAGCCACGACAAAAGTTTCCCCATAATCCCTAAGAGAGGATGACCAAAGATGGGTGCAATAGGAGAGCAGATCACCAGTAGATCTCGCCTGGCGAAAGCCATACTGGTGATCTGACAAAAGAGAAAGGCATTCAAGGTGGCGGAGAAAATGGGAGTTCAAGATGGTTTTGAAAATCTTAAGAGAGGGATGAAGTTAGGGCAATGGGGCGATAGTAAGAGGGATTAGAATGGTCACCCTTCTTTGGGATGGGCTGAACCAAGGCATGCTTCCAAGAAGAAGGAAAAGTTTGGGTTTTGAGGCAAAGTCGAAAGAGGCGAGTAAGCACAGGGGCCAGGGCTTCAGCACACTCCCTCAGAATACGAGGGGGTACAGTCAACCCTCGCTTTACGCGGTCCCACTTTATGCGTTTCCACGTTTACGCGGTACCCTGCCGAACACGGAATGCTCACTTTCCGCGGTGTGTGTACCCTTTTACGTGGAGAGCGGTGCGAGCAGGGTGCTCACAAGGTCGCCCAGTCATCAAAACATTACCGAATTCTTCACCCGCCACCCACCACAGCCGGCCCAAGTCAGTGATAGTGATAGTGAGGATATGGACTTATATGGACTTTGAGGGGCTTGACAAAGAGGCCCTGCAAGCCTCTGTGGTGGAATGTGATACAATTGATACAAGTGATACAGGTGAGGGCCAATAATCTGCCCTCTGCCTCGGAACCAACCCCCCATCCCCGTGTGCCCAGCCATCTTTTCTACTAATGTAAATGTTAAAAAACCTAATATTATTGTTAGTTCTCTTAGTTATTAAAATGTGTGTGCATACCATCATAAAATTAAGAAGTTATTTTTACTACAACGTAGGTATTGTGTCTGAAAAAGTGGAGTTTGGGGGTCGGCCCAGTCTCTATTTCAATTAATCCCATATGTTGTTCACTTTACGCGTTTCTCACTTTACGCGGGCCGCCGTGGGTTCAATTGACCGCGTAAAGTGAGGGTTCACTGTATTCCGTCCGGTCCGTGCGCCTTACTCACATCCAACCTGGATAACACACCGGCAACCCTGTGGGCGTGAGACACATACCTGAGATCGATGAGGAAGGCATCACAAAGTGTCGCCCTCCCTCGCCGAGGCATTTTTATATGAGGCTAGCTGGCAACTGAGGCATGCCAAATGGGCAATTCATGCATTACATACATTTCATTTAAATCAGTTGCTGTACATTTGGCTATGAAAATCAATGTCATGAGTCAGTCTAATTTTTACATCTATTGTTACAATCTTATCAGAGTTTGAGCTTGCCAGGCAATATTGAAATGAACATTAAATGCACAAGTTGACAACATCTTTCATACGACCTCATCAGAGTTTAGACAAGGGCCTACTGAGAGTTTACCGTTAAATCTTGGAGATAAGAAGACTGACATATTCTTTTCAGGATATTAATGACTTTCTAAAATATAAAACTGACAATCATTTTAATACAAGCATTAGATTCTCTGATGACTGGGAATCAAAATGATCTAACTTCAGAATCAGTTGGAAACTCAGGCATCCCTAGGGCTCATATTAGGGGTTCGTCACTTCTACTGGCAGACACTACAACACTTATTTGACAATTTTACTAACTGTAAATAAGTTGAAGCTTTCAACATCACTTACAAGGGATCTTGAATGTTTCATCTGTAATCAGACATATCTAATTTAATGTAATATAATTGTGTTCTCTCTCAATCTCAAATCACTGAACACGATATGAGGTATTAAGAAATATCAGAGTTTCTGAGGTACTACTTGAGAGAAAACGGAGGACTCAGGCATCCTGAAGCTGTTAGAAAATGTACGTCTCAACTGGGGAACTCGGTAAAAAAGATTTATGTTTATGTTTTATGGGCTATTGAGCGTAATGTGAATCGTCTGATTTTACGTTAACTAACATGCACGACCGTGGTCAGTACACCATGTTATGAACTGATTCCGTTCCTGAGGACGTTCCTAAGTCGGAACACATGCTATATGCATACCGTACTCACAGAACAATGTTTAAAATCTCACTCTATCATAGCCTAAGTCCTTATGTACATCTAAAATCACTTAATTTAAGACAAAAGAAGAAATAGAATGACAAAATACAGTAAATGAAAGTAAAAAATAAGTTTTCAAGTAAATAAAATACTGTACTGTAAATTTCAAGTTTAACCCCCGTTCGTACTGACGGGTGTTTGTAAGTCGGGGACCCCTGTACTGTACAGTATATGACTGATCTCCAGCATCATGACAATATCTTATTAGAAACTTTGTGTTTGTAATTATTAGCTGTGTTACTCCATTAATTTTGTTGCAGATCATGTACAACTTGTGAATCCTGGAAGATATGGAGCCGTCATCAATGGTTGAACTTCCTGCTTATGAGTATGCACCTCGATGGGTGCCACTGGCAGAGGTGAGGCAAAAGATCATTTTGCTGCTATAGAGTACTGTAGAAGTACAGTATAAGGCAAGATTTATTTTTACAAATGCCATCCAAGAAAAATAATTGCTTGTTCTGGAATTACATGCCAAAGCATTAATTGTTTATGAGACTTTCTATACACACATCCGGTGTATACAGTATGGTACAACTGTACATTAGTATGCACTCTTTTTTTTCTACCTTAGCCTCCCATTCTGTTGCCAAACCTAATTGGAGAATGCTAGCCTTACAAACCTCTGTATAAGCGATTCAACATTCTTCAATAGAAATCATAAATCTGATGAATTCATGAAAAAAAGGAAGAATAATTTTTTATGTTACGAGCATAAACAGTCACGGTAGTCACCATGGAAGCTGTGTCTCAAGAACCACCATATTGACAAGTGTATCTCACCGCTGGCTTCAAGAAATAATCTGTTGCATTATTTAGCTGGGAGTGTTTTTAAAAGATTTTATTTAATATTTAAATAATAAAAAAATTTTTTACTCCCAGTCTTACCTTGTGCAGGAATAACATCAAAGAAGGCAGAAACCCCTGAATTGTCTGCATGTGTGCTAATTGACCATTCTGGAATTTATGGTCTCATTTTTTACCTTAAGGGCTATTTGTTGAAAAATATATACAGTATGTAATTTTACAGTGGAGAATATGTACTTTTGTGATGAGCCAGGAAATTTTTATAAAAGTTAAAAGTGGAGAGAATTCATTGGTTCTGAGAATGTCTAGTACAATCAGAATTTGGACCAGTTTTTACTTTTATGAAAAGTTCCACTGGCAAGTTTCATTACAACAAATATTCTATATTGTGTAATTATAGATGAAAGAGATTGTACTGTACAGTACTTCAGAAAGTAAAAAAAACTTTAGGGATCACTTGAAGATTCACCCCCCCCCCTAATTGTTTCACCTGAGGATTAACCACCTAACTTAACTTTCTCAGGTAGCAGTAAAGTGGTTAATCTTGAGGTGAAATAAACTGGGGGAGGAGAAAATCTTCAGGTGACCCAAAAAATTAATTGAATAAAAAATGAGGAAGTAATGAAATTATAGATCAAATTTTTTAAGTTCCCAACACTCATATATGAATCATTTATTTTATGAGCATCAGTGTCACCCTGCCTCTCTTAGGATTTTTCTGATTACAGTAATGTATTGTAATTGAGAGAAATTAGGTCAGGAAAAGAGTGATGGAAATTTACCAAAAAATAAAAAAAACATGGGCAGTGAAAGGGAATGACATGTGCATACTTGGAGATGAAATGAGAATGGTGAGATGGATGTATTAAAAGATAAAACTGCTGTTAAGAGCTAAGAGGGCAAGTGGGTATTGAGAGTATTTAGATTTGAGTAGAGGTAGGCTGATGTGCTGTAGGTAATAGATATGTAGAGAAAATGGAGAAAACCAATTGCAGAAAAATAAAAAGGAAATTACCGTACCTGAAACTATATGCAGTAATTATGAGTGAAGTGTAAGTTTGATGGACAGGATCAAGAGGCAGTGGAGGCTTTATGAAGAGTAGTAAGACATGTATAAGAGTAAACAGATGAGTAAGTGAGAGCTTTGAAGTGAGACAAGGATGTATGGTGTCCCTATGACTACACAGCATATCTATGAAAGGATTGGTATCTAAGGAAAATGACAGAAAGGGTGACTCGTGACTTGGGTAGGGATTTGGGTACGGTGCCTGGTAATGTCTTGCAGATGATGCAGTGAGCTTATTAGTACTGTGTGAATGGAAACCGCAAAATGTGGTGAATAATGTTGGTAGTGTGTAATTGAAGGTAAATAATGGGTAGAATAAGGGAATGATTTTTGAGAGGACAAAGTTTTGGCACAGTGAATTTGGATAAAAAATAGAGAATAGAAAAATACAGCAAATTAAACTACAGGGTGACAACCCTTTATCCGAAATTCCGAAAACCGAAAAGCTCTGAAAACCGAAAGTTTTTTTTGGAGCAATTTTTTTTTTTTTAAATGATTAGCCCACCCAGGCATAAATGACTGACCCACATCGGCCTGGGGGCGAAATGTAAAATAGTATACTAATTATAATAATAATAATCATAGAATAAAATTTAATTAAAAAATACCAAAATAAAGTAATAATCAAATAAAATAATAATGATAATAATAATAATAATATAATAATAAAATATATAAAATTATAATAATAACTCATAATACAGTATTAATAAAAAATAATAATAAAGAAATACAAGAATGAAAAAGATAAAAAGTGAGAAACACGACCCAGACCTATGAATTATTATTATATTATTATTATTATTATTATATATTATTATTATATTCTCCCCCTAGGCCCAAATGTGGATCAGTGACTTGTGCCCGGGTGGGCTAAAAAAAAAACAACTAACCATTCTGAAAACCTAAAATTCCGAAATCCGAAATGCCTCTGGCCCCAAGGATTTCAGATAAGTGATTGTCAACCTGTATAAAGTTATGATGCATGAGATACTGGAAGAGGTTCAATGTTTAAAGCATTTGGGAGTTAAGGAAGTATATTACACTTCCTGTACACTAAAGTTAAAACTAGTAGCAAAACAATATATGGGAGGAGTGTGAATGGAGAGCTGAGAAGTTCTGAGTATAGTAAAATGGCGTTTGGAGTTATGGTTGTCAAACATAGACTTGGATTAAAACAGATTGGAAGGGGCAATAAATAGTGATGTGTGCTACTGTAAGTAGTGGAATGGGTGAAGGGATTAGGGAAGTGTGCCAAAATGATATGGACCTGTGAAAAGAATGCATGCTGAGGAAGAGGTCAAGGTAGCAAGTGCATTTTGAAGAGGGAGTATACATAAAATATGTGAAGTAAAAGTGGAATAATACAATAGAAAATTAGGAGAGAGTTTAAGAGGGATAGAGCGAACAAAGAACCATTATGTATAGTAACAGTGGCTAAGAGGCTTTTGTTGTACGTAGTTACAACTGATAATAATTAATAATACAGTATTTAGGTAAATTTTCTAATTAAGACCATTTAGGTAACTGGTTTATGCACTCACTAAACTAGAGGTTGCAGGTTAGTATTTTGTAATGGGCAGCTCGGTGGTATAGTCAGTCCTCGACTTAACGACGGGTTAGGGACCCACTACCAGTAATAAGTCGAAAATAATACAGTGGTCCTTCAATTAACAAACACAATTGGTTCCAACTTACAGAAAAGTATACAAAGTTAAACCAAAAATGTAAAAAGTCAGAAACACCTAAAAAAACCCCTTAAAATTTATATTTAATTATTATATATATATATATATATATATATATATATATATATATATATATATATATATATATATATATATATATATATATATATATATATATATATATATATATATATATATATATATATATATATATATATACTGTATATATATATATATATATACAGTTGGTCCTCAGATACGCTATGTCCCGCATTCCTGCTTTCACCGCTAACGCGTGCCTTGCCAGAACCTAACATTTTCACATTCCGCGTCGTGGAACCCCATTGCTCGAGAGAGCTGCTGGCAAGCCGAGCCATATTTTTGGATCCAACCTTCCGCCATGTTGTGTAAGAGGCCAAAATGGTGCGCATGGTCGCCCAGTCATCAAACATGACCAGTTTCACCCGCCACCCACTACAGCCGCCCAAGTCAGTGATAGTGATAATTATAGTGAGGATATGGACTTATGAACTTTGGGAGTTTGACAAAGAGGCCCTGCAAGCCTCTGTGGTGGATAGTGATACAACTGATAAGGTGACAGGTGAGGCCAATAATCTGCCTCGCCCTGGAACCAACCGCCCATCCCCGTGCCCAGCCATCTTTCTACTAATGAGTGTTAAAAAACCTAATATTATTGATATTTCTTAATTATAATGTGCATGCCATCATAAAGTTAAGATAATATTTTTACTACAACATACAAAGTGGAGTTTGGGGATCGGCCCCGACTCATTTCAATTAATCCTCATATGTTATGTTATTCACTTACGTTTAATTTTCTCCGCTGTATCCGGTTACATTAATCGAATATGAGGACTCAACTGTATATATATATATATATATATATATATATATATATATATATATATATATATATATATATATATATATATATATATATATATATATATATATATATATATATATATATATATATATATATATATATATATATATATATATATATATATATATATATATATATATAGTGGGGATGCTATAACGAATCTAATTGGTTCTAGAACCTTGTTCAATATAGCATTCGCTTGTTATGGGATTAACTGTCCAGACCCCAAATAACACTTAAAAATATAATATAAAATTGTAAAAAGTATAAATATATCTAAAACCCTGAAAAGAATATCATTAATATTTATAATAAAAAACAATTAAATAAAAAAAAATTAAATAATGTAGAGTTTCGTTATAAGCATTCTCAATTTTATAGGTAAAACTGCTCGTTATAAAATATAATAAGATCCGCTTGATATAGCATACCCACTGTATATATATATGTATATATACACACAGCCAGATTCGACTTACGACGGGTTAGGACCCAAATCAGAAGTCCTAACGGTCGAAGTCCACAGATAAAAAAAAATAATAATAAAAATCTACAATGAAATACAGTACAGTAAAAGTAATAAATAATGAGGAATGGATACAGTACAGTGAAAGGAATAAATAATGAGGAATGGATAGTGACTGAGCACTACCTTTAATGTAGTCAGCTGAATGCACACAATCCCCATAATTTCTAATTATACATGGAGACTAAACTAACTGGAAACGTTTTGGTATAGAAAATGCAAAGTATTTTGAAAAAAAAATGGTCACAACTGCGGCGTCGTGAAGTCCCACGCGTCGAAGTCGAAACAGTCATAAGTTCAGGTCTAGGGCTAGTATATATATATATATATATATATATATATATATATATATATATATATATATA